GCCTCCCGCCCCCCCCCCAGGGCCCCTCACGCACCTCGGAAGGAGGCCGCGGGGTCTTGGCGCCATGAAGTCAGTGTTGGGCATTGGAGGTGCGATCCGGCCGCTTGGTTTTGGGGATCCGTGCGCGCGGGAGGCGGGAGGCGGGGGAGCGGAGGCAGCCGAGGTCGGGTTCGTGGGGAGCCGGGTGGTGTCGGCTCCGCCAGGGGTTCCTGGAGGTTCGCTATGCGGTTGAGAACGTTTGAAATGCCTGCTCATAGGAAGTGAGACGGAAGAAACAAAAATATGTACACCCGGCCGGTGTTGCTCATTGGTTGAGCACGGACCGAGGAACAAGGTTCGATTCCCGGGCGGGGCACAGGCCCGGGTTGCGGGCTCCATCCCCAGTAGGGGGCGTGCAGGAGGCAACTGATCAATGTTTCCCTCTCTCTGCCTCTCTCTCTCCTCCCTTCCTCTCTGACATCAACAAAAATGTATTTAAAAAAATAATTAAATGAGCAAAACACTCAAACAGATACTCCACCAAAGAGGATAGTCAGAAGGAAAAGAAAAAATCACATGAAAAAGATGTTCCACGTCAGTAGCCAGGAGAGAAAAGCAAACTGAAACCAGGCTGAGGTTCGCCCTCACAGGCGCGGTGCTGGCTAAAGCAGAAGCACAGCCAGTCCCAAGTGCCGGCGAGGACACGGCAACGGGGCCTCCTACTTGGCCGGTGGGAGTGCAAGACGGCACAGCCCCTCCTGCGAGCAGGGTGACGGTCTCACCTCAGTTACAGGAACACTCCCCCTCGAACCCCTGCTCCTGAGTCTTCATCTGGAGCAGCGGTTCTCAACCTGTGGGTCGCGACCCCTTTGGGGGTCGAACGACCCTTTCACAGGGGTCGCCTAAGACCATCGGAAAACACATCTATAATTACATATTGTTTTTGTGATTGATCACTATGCTTTCATTATGTTCCATTTGTAACAATGAAAATCCATCCTGCATGTCAGATATTTACATGATGATTCATAACAGTAGTAACATGACAGTGATGAAGTAGCAACGAAAATAATTTTATGGTTGGGGGTCACCACAACACGAGGAACTGTATTAAAGGGTCGCGGCCTTAGGAAGGTTGAGAACCACTGGTCTGGAGAAATGAAAACTTCTGTTCACGGAGCAGCTCTGTGCACAGTTGCCCCAAACTGGTCACAGCCTAAATGTGTTCAACATCCACGTGACCAGGGAACACACGGTCGGTGGCCTCAGGGACTTGGATCCGAGTCTCAAAGGCATCTTGTGAGCGAGCGGAGGTCCCGTACAGTGCGATGTGTGTGAATGGCGTTCCTGGCTAGACTAGACCGAGTGATTGGGAATGATGGGTGGCTGTGGGGGCTGGGGTGGAGGGAGGCAGGACCACAGCGATAGCACAGAGGAGTTATCTATATATATAAAAGCCTAAGTGACCATCGCAACCGAACGGACGGCTGAACAGGCTGCGTGGGGCGACCAGGCTGGCAGGGGGGATCAGTGAAGGGCGACCAGCCCTGCAGGGGTGTCAGTGAGGGGTGACCAAACGACTGAGCAGCAGGCTGCGTGGGGTGACCAGGCCAGCGGGAGGGGCAGTTAGGGGCAATCAGGCAGGCAGGCAGGTGAGCAGTTAGGAGCCAGTGGTCCCGGATTGTGAGAGGGATGTCCGACTGACGGTTTAGGCCAGGATCGGGCCTAAACCGACAGTCGGACATCTCCTGAGGGGTCCCGGATTGGACAGGGTGCAGGCTGGGCTGAGGGGACCCCTCCCTCCCAGTGCACGGATTTTGTGCACTGAGCCTCTAGTCCTATATAATAAAAGCCTAATATGCTAAGTGTCCGGTCGTCTGTCAACCAATCAAAGCGTAATATGCTAATGATATGCTAAGGCCGCTCAACCGCTTGCTATGACGTGCACCGACCACCAGGGGGCAGACGCTCTGACCCGTAGGTTAGCTTGCTGCTGGGGTCTGGCTGATCAGGACGGAGCGAGATGGGCCGAACTCGCCCTGGAGCCGTCCCTCTCCCTCCCCGGCCCAAATTGTGCACCAGGGGGGTCCCTCGGCCAGGCCTGCGCCCTCTTGCAATCTGGGGCCCTTCGGGGGATGTCAGAGAGCTGGTTTTGGCCCAATCCCGCAGGCCAGGCCGAGGGACCCCACTGGTGCACGAATTCGTGCACCAGGCCTCTAGTTTTTATAATGGGTCTCATGTATTCTGATTACACGAACCTAGACACATGTCAAAAATGTACTTTTCCTGGCCAACAGGAGATTTTTGTGTGTGTCTAAAACTGTCATTTTCATTTTTTAATTCAGGGAGGAAGAGAGAGGGAGAGAGAGACGGAAACATCAATGATGTGAGAGAATCATGGATCAGCCGTCTCCTGCACGCCGCCGACTGGGGATGGAGCCCGTAACCCGAGCCTGTGCCCTGACTGGGAATTGAACCGTGACCTCCTGGTTCAGAGGTCGACCACGGAGCCACACCGGCTGGGCTAGAACTGTATCATTTTAAAAAAATAGAATTTACAAAAAGGTATCTTTCCTTCTACAAATATCTTGAGCGCCTACTGTGCATCAGGTCCTGGGAAAAGATATGGGGGGCCATGAGCATGTGAGGGAGACAGCTGCACCCGGCGATGATAGAGCGCGGAGGGACCTGGGCTGGGGAGGGTGAGGGAGGAGAGGGCCAGGCTTCCATGTGGGAACCGGGGGCGCCTGAAGGAGGAACAGGAGCCTTTCATTCATTCATTCAACACGCGTTTATTGTGCCAAGCCCCGTCCCGGGCCCCAGGGATTCCGCCACGAACACGAAGGTGCCAGGTCTCTGCTGTCACGAAGCTGCCCCTCTAGCGGGCGGACGTGGACCATGCACACGCCCGCAGATAAGAACCCCAGGAGCTGAGGGACACTCGAGGAAGGTGGCGGGTACCGTGGCCCCGGGGGAGAAGGCTGCGAAGTGGGGGACCGGGCAAGACCCCTCGGGGAGGATGCAGCCGGGGCAGAGCCTGGGAGGCCCTGGGGGCGGGAGGGTTTGGGTCGAAGGTCCTGTGAAGGCACAGACAGGCTCAGAGCTGGGAAGGATCCTGGTGTGTGAGGGACAGAGAGGGCCAGTGGGCCTGGGGAACCAGGGGGAGTGGAGGAAGACTGGGGCAGGGAGGGTGCGAGGTAAGGTGACTGGCACATAGTAGGTGTAAGATGGCTGGCACATAGTAGGTGCTGCTACGGTGCCCGTCCTTGTCCCGATGCAGGGAAGACTGGCCAGAACCCAACCTCCCCAAGCCCCTCCGGCCGGGCTTTCCTGGGTCCCAGCTCGGCCTTCAGAGAGGCCAGCGCAGGCCTCAGTCCTCGCCCCTCCCACGCTGTGGCTGTGGCTGGTTGACGGGTTGACAGGTGATGGTGTCATATTCCTTTCCGGGGCCCAGTGGCTCTCACCCTGAAGGAAACAGCAGACTGCCCACTGGGCCGCTCCCATCATCTCACTGGGCGGGGGCGGGGGCGGGGGCCTGGGACATGCAGGGCAGCCTAGGGCCCCCCCGCGGGCGTGTGGTTCTGGAAGAGGGCGGGCAGGAAGAGCCCCACAGTGCCCAGCACGCACACGACCACGAACACCCACAGGAACAGCCGGTCGACCACCATGGCTACGTACTTCCAGTCCTCCACCACCTGCGGGCAGATGAGAGGCGGGTCACACGGGCGGGCGTGGGCGACCCCCTGCTCTCCCCTGCCCCCCGCGCTGGGCCCTCACTATCCCGCCAGGACCCCACAGGCCACTGAGGACTTGGGGTGGCCGTTCTGAGCAGGAGGCTGAGCCCCCAGCTGGGCACACCTGGGCCTCCCAGGCGGTCTGTCCACCCCGCCTGCCCCCGAGGCATTGCAGTCACCGGGCCCTAGGGCTGTAAAGGAGATTAGGAATGTAGTCGGAAACCGAACCTGACTGTAAACGGGCGGGACAAGGCCTCTCTCTTATTGTCACCCCAGGCCTCCTGAGCTGGCGCCACCCCCAGCTAGATTTGGGGCCCCCCTTGCTGAGTGGGGTGCGCACGGGGGAATGCAGGACACTTGGAAATACTGGTGTTTGATTTGCTTGGTTCTGGGAACAGCAGCGTCTGTGCCCTAGCTGGTCTGGCTCAGTGGATAGAGCGTCAGCCTGCGGACTGAAAGGTCCTGGGTTCGATTCCTGTCTAGGGCCACATGCCCGGGTTGCGGGCTCCATCCCCAGTGGGGGGGTCGTGCAGGAGGCGGCCAATCAATGATTCTCTGTCATCATGGATGTTTCTATCTCTCCCTCTACCTTCCTCTCTGAAATCAATAAAAATATATATTTTTAAAAAATAATTTAA